TGTTGTTGTTGGGTTTTTCGTTTCTTGGAGTTGGCTTTTATTTTTTGCTTGTTGTTATGTTATTAGGGGTTTTATTATTGTTGTTGTTGGTATTTTCTCTGGTTTGGCTTGATTGTTGGTGTAATGATAATATAGGATTTTTATTTTTATTGTTATTATTAGTATTTGTTGTGTTGTCCTTGATATTAAGGCGTTTTTTTCGATTTTCCATTTATTCTTCTCCATTCTGTATTTTCATCCCTTGTTTTTGCGTATATTTTCACGCGTGGAGTTTCTTTTTTCAGCGCTGGGTGTTTCTTTTAATAATAAAAAAAAATGATCTGAAACCATAACTTTATGGATCATGAAATGCACTGGTGATTTTCGTAGGTCTATTCTGTCAGATATTCCAGCTATACGACTATACCCTTTACTTTTCCCACAAAAAAACTCGTGTTTCCAAAGAGTACAGTATATCTAGAATATAGTATATACACACTCGTCCCATATTAACACGGGACAAAACACCAGGACAACAGGCTATCTGGAAACTGGTAACACGTAGGCCGGTACCAGTTGCAAGATCTTTAGTACCAGGGCCAGCGAGTCTGTACTGTGATCTGGAAGTCAATGAGAACAGTCCTTGGGAATGTATTTTGCTGTGCCATTTTCAGTTATATTTCGTAATGTCCTTGCTCCCTCCTATTGTTGCCTGCTAACACCATCAACACACAGTTAGTAATGGAAAAAATATATGTTATATGCTATCTTTTATGATCTCTACTCTCTGATATATATGATATATATCTAATATGTATGTATATTACATCTAAACACATTGCTTGTTTAAAGGAAGGACCGTAACACTATCGAGTTTAATGTGACATGGATAAAGCATAAAGCTGTCAGGTGGTATTGCGTGTTTAAGGGCGCTGGTACATGGCGACCGTAGAAGGCATCATGTGGTCCTGATTTTAAGAAGAGTTTGTGATGTTAGCTACAGGGGATGAATTTTCAAAAAAGAATTTGTGATGTTACCTATAGGATAAGTTTGTAGAAAGAGTAGAAGAGTTTGTAGAAAAGCTTCAGAAGAGCTTGTGACTTCAGGTGAAGGAAAGTGTTTCAAGGAAAAGCTTATGACGTTAACTAGAGGAGATTTTCAAGAAAATGAGTTTGTGACGTCAGCTGCAGGTGAAGGGTTTCAGGAAAAAGTTATGAGAAGTGCCTTAGGAAAAGAGTTTAAGGCGCTAACTATACGATAAGAATTTTCAGGAGAAGAGTTTGTGATATCAACTAAAGAGAAGAGCTTCAGGAAAAGGGTTTGGGATGTGAATTATCTGAGACAAGTCGATGACGTCAGTTATGCGAGAAGGGATTCATGAGAAGATTTGGTAATGTCAGTTATGCAAGATGATAACGCCAACTATAGAAGATGCAATGCTGTCAATTAATACAAGAATCAAAGAACTAAACCTGAAAAAAGGGAGTGAAATCAACCATAGGGAAATAAATGGTCAAGTCAAATGTAGGAGAAGAATTCACATCAAATCACAGGAGAAAAGCTTTAGAAGAAGCGTTTTAAGAAAACGAGCTCTCACCGTCCCCTAGATTCCGCGCCAACATGTACACTGTGCTGTGGCCGAGGGTAAGACTAGCAAGTCCAAGTGCCAATAGCGATGCCCCTCACGCCCTAGGAAGAGGTCGTGTAGCATGATAACATCTCGAAATCCCAAATATCTTGCTGATTATTAAATATTCCGAGGCGACAGTGAGGCCAGAGAGAGAGAGAGAGAGAGAGAGAGAGAGAGAGAGAGAGAGAGAGAGAGAGAGAGAGAGGGAGAGAGAGAGAGAGAGAGAGAGAGAGAGAGAGAGAGAGAGAGAGAGAGAGAGAGAGAGAGAGAGAGAGAGAGAGAGAGAGAAATCAGGTTCTCGCGAATCGACAGTGTGGTATCGAACGCGGCCGTCGTGCTCATTCATTTAGGGCTGTGTTCGTTTACAAAAAAAAAGAAAGAAAGAAAAAAAATGAATCGAGCAAAAAGCAATAGTAAATCTTTCTTCGCACTAACTCTGGGGTTGGGCGCGTATTTTGTTTTTCTCTTCTCTCTCTCCCTCCCTCCCTTCTTCCCTCTCCTCCCTCCCTTCCTCTCTCTCTCTCTCTCCCTCTCTCTCTCTCTCTCTCTCTCTCTCTCTCTCTCTATTTGCCTGTCTGTCTGTCTGAATGTCTACCTGTCTCTCTCTATCTCCCTCTTTCTCTCCTTTCTTAGTGTGTACACAGTATATCGAGGGTCAAATTCTGCGGCTATGCGGTTTATGCATCATCATAAAAGTTATAAAATCTGAACAGTGTGTTTTTATTCTCTCTCTCTGTGTCTCTGTCTCTCTCTCTGTTTCTCTCTCTCTCTCTCTCTCTCTCTCTCTCTCTCTCTCTCTCTCTCTCTCTCTCTCTATATATATATATATATATATATATATATATATATATATATATACATATATATATATATACATATATATATATATA